TAGGTCTTTCCAAGACTAGATTTTTTTTGGAAATCAACAGGTAAGTTTTTTTCATCATAGGTCTTTTCAAGACTAGAATTTTTTTTTAGATAAACGGATAGGTCTTTCCAAGACCTGATCAATTTTTTTTTTGAGGTGGGATGCAATTTTGCACTTGTACACCTACAACATTTTTTGACTAAATATGTTGATGCATTTTTTTTCCACCGAAAGAAATTGAAACCTCCATTGTTTATTCTTCACGGGGATGCATTTTTTTTTGGATCCCAACCCTTGTATAGTTTTTTCATTGGGGTCTTCGAGAGGCATTTTTTTGTGGTCTTTTAGAGACTAGCAAAACACATTTTTTTATGGTCTTTTAATGACCAAGAATTCTATGGCTTCTTTAACAAACAAATCGTCCCTTTTTACTCCTTTAGTTGATCTTTGGAAGACCAATGTGGTGTGCTTTTTTCTATTTTTTTTTATTTCTTTTGTGGTCTTTGAAAGACCAGTGGAATAATGTTATGCCTTTTTTTTTTATGGTTTTATTTAATCATAGAACTACTTAATGAAATTCCCATTGATGCAGGGGTATGTGCACTTCCCTTCAGAATTGGAAAGCTCATATGCTCCTTTGAGAAAGCTTTGGTGATGACATACGGTCCTTCCCACTTTGATTCAAATTTTCCTCGCATCCGTCTCATCACAACCAATTGTCTTATAGTCAAGACCAAATCAACAATCGAGAAGGATCTGAATTTGGCCTTTTTATTAAAGGCACTTGCCACTTGGGCTTGGTAAATTTCAAGTCTTTGTTGGGCATCGAGCCTTTTTTCATCCAGGACTTCCAGCTCAGTTAATCTTATTTTTGTACTTTCATCTGGATTCGTGAACTGAGCAACAACCCGTAGAGATGACAATTACACTTCAAGTGGGAGCACTGCCTCTGAGCCATAGACGATGCTATGTGGGGTACAACCCATGGAAGTATGGATTGTTAACTTGTATGCCCACAAAGCTTTTGGTAGCCTGTCATGCCAATCTCTTTTGTTTTTGGAAACCATCTTCTTAAAAATTTTGCATAGCACTTTATTGAAGGCTTGGGATTGTCTGTTAGCTGATGGGTTGTGTAGCTTGCAAAACGCCCATGTCGAAACTTGTATTTTTCGATCAATTTCCACACGAATTGATTTTTTAAGTATGAGGCATTATTAGAGATGATCTTTGATGGAACTCAATAACGATAAATTATGTGCTTCTTAATAAAATTAACAACATCCAATGCCCTACTTTTAAAGGTACAACTTTAATCCACTTGGAGAAATAATTTGTTCCCGCCAAAATGTATTGATGAGAATTTGAAGATGGGGACTTAAAAGGGCCGATTACATCTAGACCCCAAGTCTAGAAAGGCCATGTCAACATTGTTGGATGGAGTAATTGAGGGGTTGATGTATACAATCTCCATGAAGCTAACAAACTTTGCAATTTTTTGTAAATTTCATTGAATCTTGTACTATGGTTGGCCAATAATAGCCCAATTGCTTTGGCTATGTGGTGAGTTTAGGTCCAGCTTGGTGCGCACCGTAAGTACCAGTATGAGTTTCATACAAAGCATTCGTCACTTCTTCTTTTGACTGGCACCTAAGAAGAATTCCTTCAATGGATCTTCTACATAGAGTGTCATTTAGGTATGCAAAACGAAGGGCTCTTCGTCTCAAATAAACATTTTTTTTTTGGGTCAATTACATCTTCTTCAATTACACAAATAGTTACTACAGTTGTGCTTTCTGCAGCTTTCATACACTCAAGCACGGGAGGTAGTAGAGGATGTTCCCCAACACTACTGGATGTCTTGAAATTTAGACATTAAGTATTTACCCCTTTGATAGTAAAATACCAAATTTCCATTTTTCACTTCATACTGATCGCTTAATTGTTTGACAATTAAATGAGAATCGTCAAACACTTGTAAACAATTAATATGCATTTCAAGTGCAATTTCTAGACCAATGATTAATGCTTCATACTGAGCTACGTTATTTGAGCATAATAGCGAGAATGAATATGGAATTAATTCGCCAGAATGTGTCACCAACACAATACCTGCCCCCACTCCTCGTTTCCTTGATGCCCTATCAAAATAAAACTGTCTGCCATGATGGCGTTTCAATGGACAAGACTTCACCGTAAGGAAAATCATCAGGTAACTGCATGTTGTTCGGAACAGGATGAGCTATTTGGAAATCTACAAATGCTTGTCCTTTTATTGCCTTTTGAGGTACAAATGTAATGTCAAACTCCGTTAACAGTACAAACCAACGGGCAACTCTTCCTGACAAGAATGGTTTGGACATCAATTATTTTAAAGGGCTAGCCTTTGATATTAGCCTTATAGGATGGGCAAGTAAGTAATGTCGTAATTTTTGCATTGAAAAGATTAATGCCAAACACATTTTCTCAATAGGGTAGTAGTTGTTTTCTACTCCCACAAGCGTCCTACAGAGCTAGTATAAGGCATTTTCTTTTTCATCGTCGCTTTGCGCTAACAATGTCCCTAGAGAGCGTTCGAGTGCAACAATATATAAAATTAGGGGCTTTCCTTTTATAAGAGTCATTAACACAGGAGGTTTTGATAAATATTCCTTAATGCTTTCAAAAGCATTTTGGTATGCTTGATCCCATACAAAAAGGCACATCCTTTTTCATTAGCATTCCATACAACTTTGAAATAAACCTTCTTATGTCGGCCAACTTCACTTGTAAACTACATAACTTGCATAACTTGCCAGGAGCGCACATTTATGTAATTGATTTTATTTTGGTGGGATCGATTTCAGTATCTCGGTGTCTGACGCCGAAACCAAGGAACTTTCTAAAAGTTACCCCAAACACACATTTTAAGGGGTTCATTTTGAGTTGATTCTTTCTGAGGCTATCAAAGACTCTTTTGATGTCATTCAAATGTTTTTCAAGTTTTAGCAACCAAATTGTCCACATAACATTCAACTGTGTTGTGGAGCAAGTCATTGAAAATGATTGTCATGGTTCTTTGACAAGTAGGGCCTACATTTCTCAATCCGAATGACATTAATGTGTAACAATAAATTCCTTTTAGAGTATGGAATTTTGTGAGTTACTCATCTTACTCGTCTTCAGCGCCATTTTATTTGATTGTAACTTGAGAACCCATCCATAAACGGTAAAGCACCAAACCCCATGGTTGCATCCACCAATAGTTCGGTAATCGAGAATAAGAACTCATCTTTAGGACATGCATCATTTAGATCCCAAAAATCTATACAAATGCTCACTCGTCCATTCTTTTTCTTAACAAGCACTATATTTGTGAGTCAAGTGGGATATTGAACTTCCCGAATAAAACCAACACTTATCAGCTTATTCACTTTGACTTCAATTTGCACAGTTAGCTTTGGCCAAAAACAACATTGACCTTACTTTACGAGGCGTTTATTGTCCGATACAGCCAGTCGATGTATTGCAATTTTTGGATCTAGTCCTAGCATGTCTTGATAACCCCAAACAAAGACGTCTTGATATTCCCGAAGAAGATGCTCCTACTCATTTAATTCTTCTTGAGAGATTTGAGCATTGACAAAGATGGGCTTAGGATCATCGGCAGTACCAAGATTCCAACTACAAATATTCTCATGGTACAATTTACCCCACGAGAGAATGGAAAGAAAAAATATTCTATTTGTAGTGGCGGCTAGAACTAAGTTAATTACCTAGGTTGCCTACGTACTCGTTGACGAAATTAAGCTGATTCGTAGTTTAGGAAGGTCAAATTGTTTTTGGGGTAAGACTAACGGGTAGATAACCCATTGATCTTGAATGAATAAAATGTCCATCATGTTTGAAATGAGTAAATCACCTTTTGAATTTGATATGGGTTTAAGACCCACTTGATTGTGGCGGAGTTGTGACTGCGCCTAGTTTAAGGGATCAAATCAACCGAAGTTGTTGGGAAAAGAATTTAGCATTTGGTGAATCACTCACTCTCCCCTTTCTTATAGGCAAACCTTCCCTTAGAGGGACTCTAGAACATCACTCTTGGTTCTTTTTTTTTGTGTACAACATACAATTTTTAAAATCCAAAGGATGTATTTTATTTAGTATGAGTCAAATTAAAATGCGAAATTTAACAATTGAGCTTGAAGGGTCAAGTCAAGGATAAAAAAATTTACAAAAACATCACGTGCCGAGCATGTATCCCTCACTAACCTTTGCTTAAAATTCGCACCTAAATATAATGAGCAGTGAATTTTTTAATCGACGAACAAACACAAATAACTACAAGTTGATGTGTGCTGGGCCGGGCCAACCACTAGGCAACTGAGGCGCTTGCCTAAGGTCGGGCCCCACTCAACCAGGTATCTTGCTCTGATAAGAAGTTGAAACTTGAGCAACTGTATGTTAGGGTTAAGGAAAAGAAAGAGAAGAAGAAATGAAGATAGAGAGTATTAAACAATGTGGTGTTTAGGGTGTAGTGTTGTCAACAGACTCAACACGTTATCATCTAGTTATATTATATTGATATTGAAGACAATTACAATATTAGGATAGTAGAACATAACAGGAAAATAGAACAATAGGAAAATGACATAATAGGAAAGCAATATAATAGGAACGTAACAGTCGTAAACCTAATTGTTGGTGCTAGAAGCATACATACCCCCTTAGGTTGTCTAACGCGAAGAGCAAATATCCTTTTCAAGGGTCTTACACTAACTGTTTGAAAAATCAAATTCATAGATTATAACAGGCCCAAGGGGGTATGTATGCTTCTAGCACCAACAATCAGGTTCAAGACCTTGAAAAGGAGATATATTGCTATCCAAATACGCCCTTAATTCCTGAGATATGCATGAGGGTACCAAGTCAGATAATTTTAATGAAAAGAAAACTATCAAGAATTCACCCAGAAGAACGCAATGAAGAAGATAGACTAGACTCATCTAACCATGCATTTACCAGATAATATGAAATCAATCTTATCATCTACACAAGCAGATTACAGAATCAACTACCACACAAAAACTCACCCGCAAGTGTGATACTATTGAAGTCATTTTCACAGTGACCTCGCATGTAACTTCACCAGCTGAAGACAGGAAGTCAAATCTATCTGCATCTCGGATCTTAAGCCTAATTGATGAACCTCTATATGCTTTAGCTTTTATATGCCAAACCCCAACAACAGTGTAGCGGTCTCCAGAAGACTCCTTCCCAAAGCGCCATCTTAACCCACCCTTCACTTTCGGGTCAAAAGTGGCAGAACTAACTAGACTTCTGATGCTATCCATCTCATCATCCTGGAACAGAACAGAACATAATTTAATCAGATCACAAGTTTCATCCCATTATACATGTATCAGCAAAGAAATTCTCTTAACTTTTGTTTTCATCACCCACTGGGAAGATGTAGCATAATATGTGTGGGTGCCTTCATTCATGTGAGCAGGTAAGAGAGTCATCATTAGGAGAAAAAAGACCAATTATATCATATTACCCAAATTTCATTTAGGAAACATCATCTTCCAAATACATCTCTTGAAATTAACAAATTCTTGACTAATGATTAGATATCTAAGCAAACCGATAATCTTTATAATGAAAGAAATCCACCCACATGAATTATCAAATATTCGTTTCGTAAAGTAGAGCAGGACTACAAGTTGCACACACACACACACACACACACAGAGTAGCTACATAAATAAACACCAAAGCCAGAGAAAACATAACGACTTATAATATCTGCTTGAAATTGTAGAAATGAGATATATCTTGATTTTAAAAATGCTATTTCACAGAGAACCAAAAGAATATGAAGAAAACATTAGATATCAAAATCCAAGGAAAAAATAACAAGAAATAAAGGGGAGTCAGAGCTGATACTTTACTAGCAGCTTCTGGCTGGAGTAACTATCATGGTTTTGGCTTTTGATACAGCTCCAAAGTTGATGAGCAATAATAGATGACTTAACCAAACAAAGATATTCAAATTCAATTAAAAAATGTCCTGTTCACAAATTTGTAACGGAGTGAATAACATCAAAGATATTAGCTGGATATCCAAATAGAACTTCCTTAAGCCATTCAGCATACAGAAATTAACCAATATAAGTATCAAGTTGGCTTTTCCAGAACTTAAAACTCACACAAGCCCCAATAGAGTCTGCACTATAATGCAACATTATAATGCTCCAGATGAAAGAATCCAAGTAATTCAGACAAAGGAGAGCAAAATTACTCACTGTTAAAGTAGTTATGATTCTTTTGGTGCATAGCATCAGCCTCAGGTCTACGGACTTATCAAGACAGGACATATCTGCAACTAGATGGCGCACTTGGTTCAATTCAATCTACAAGAAAGGAGACTAGGCATCAATGCAAGCTTCCACAAGTAAAGTCTTTTAAAAGCCTAGGCAGAATATAAAGCATGCAGGAATATTGTCTCAAAAGTTAGGTGTAGTTGTTTACTGAAGTACCAATAAGTAACAAATTCAATTATACTGATGAAAAAAAACAAATTCAACTATATTAGTATTCCTACTGCAAAAGGCGAATAAAAGCAACATATTTATAAGGCTGATTTAAATAAGTAGAACCAGGAAACTTGCCTTGTACAATTCAAGTTTTTTCTGATTTTTTGCCACGCGACATTTGCATGAGATGGTTGATTCAGGTTGCAGGTTATCAGACAGCTATACAATATAATAGCACATATATTAAAAAAAAATTGCTTTCACGAATAAGTATGCTAAAACAATGAAGAAATACCTTTATATGGTATAACTCCTTTCCCTTTTCAAATTCAAGCCCAACCTTTGGCACAGCTACCTTTATGGCATACTCCATATATGAAGGAGAAACATTTGTGTAAAATGTTCTTTTCAGTTGTCTCAAAGTGCTTTCAGCAACATAATTTCTTCTGACGGATTCTAGACTAACTGAAGGGCTCCTGCATCACACAGATCCATAAGATATACTTTGTGCCTCCTCCCAGGGACATGTGGGGTAACATGCTTCTTTGCCTTACAAAGACTAGTTTGACTTTTGAAGTGTGTTGGAAGGAAAAGATAGATGCATCAACATATGTTCTCATTAGGATTCTTAGAATAACATAACCATGCAATTATTGGAGGGGTTGAATTGTCAATCAGACAAGAACCAATCAGCTTATCCACTCACAGAACTCATAAATCATAGATTTCCAGAAACGGTGTAAAGCAAATATCAATCCACACATGTAGAAGAAACATTTGGGTGAAATTAAACTAGTAAACTTTAAGGCTATACTGATTTCTCTTCCATTATTTTCAATTTTTTATTATAATTTTTTGATAGGAAACAAACTTTTTCATTAATAAATAAAATATGGGATGCAAAAACAGTTGGATAAGGAATCCAACTACGAAAATGAAATACACAATGAAACAATAAACCTATAAACCTATAAATCAAAGGAAACTTTCCATCCTGCTAAAATAGCAAAAAATAGAATCCTTTGTACTCCTTTGTCACCGAGCCCAAAATGTTAAAAAATGAATAAGCTCCCATAAGCCCTCCATACTATCACTCCGATCTTCAAAAATTCTTACATTTTATTCCTTCCATATAACCCAAAACGTGGCCATGATAGCACATTTCCAAAGAATAACACCATTATCAACTCTTCCAAAACCTTTAACAGCTTTAACAAACAATGAATATGATGCTGCTGGAATCACCCAACTCAACCCTACCACTCGAAACAACAGATGCCATAATATCAAAGCAGCCGGACAATGTAAAAATAAATGATCAATGCTCTCTACATCACCTTTGCACATCAAACACCACTGGGGTGAAAGACAAGTGTGAAGCCTCTTCTGAAGCATATCATTAGTGTTAATCTTATCGTGTATTACCGTCCATGCAAAGACTTGGTACTTTAATGGGCACTTCAGAAGTCCAAATCATCAAAGCACAGGTAAACAAAGGATACGGATTTTCATCCAACAATGACTCAAAATTTAAATGAGAAAACTCCTGAAGACTTATTTAACCATTGTCTTGTGTCACTAGAACCTTGATTAACTAGGACGCTATTAAGAATATCAAGAACAGACTTCAAATCTATAGTGTCTCTATCATCAAGATTCTTACGAAAAACAAAGTCCCAAGAGTACGGATAATGGTATGACCTAATCATAGATGCAATGGAATACCCATGAGAAGAAGACAAATAATAGAGCAAGGGATACAAACATGAAAGTGCAGACCCACCCATCCAATTATCCTCCCAAAAGCGAACTCTTCCTCCATTCCTGAACCAGTCTAAACCGAATTGAACCGGGCCTAAAAATGCAGTGAACCGGACTGAATATCAAGGAAACTTCCTGAACCAGACTGAAGATCAAGGAACCGGTGCAAAGGATCACTAAACAGGATTGAATATCATGTAACCAGCCCAAAAAATAACGAACCGACTTAAAAAAAATACTGAACCAGTCCTTGAAACAATGGTGGATAATGAACCGGTCCAAAAATGTGGGAAACAGAGGTGAATCAGAACAAAAAATCACCTGAACAAGTTAAACCGGTCTGATCTGTACCTGATCTGGTGTGGTCCAACTTGGGCTGAGCTATCCAAGTCAAAATATGGGCTTAAAAGGTAAACGGGCCTGCTCTTGGACGGGAGCAACTGGGCTTCATCTTTTAAGTGTACTTGATCTTATTTGTTGGGATTATTTTTGCTGGTGGGCTTAATTAAGCCATCCGGGTTAGATCTCAAACTGGGTTATGATATAACCCAAACCCAGACCACGAGGTCGTCTTCTTTGTCTGCAACGCAAGCTTGCCTGGAAACCCTAAGCTGCGACAGCTCTGTTAGGGTTAACGGAGAAGGTCGATCACTACCGGCAACCAACAATCTACAGCACTGCCAATTATCGATGCAGCTGCGCAAGATAAAATCAATAGTTTTACCAAACAACGATGCCAACCATCTACACCCAAATGAATAAACACAATGAAGCTCCGATATTACTCCATCAGAGCTTTCTTGTTCCGACTTTCTGCTGCCTAGTTAAAATGCTCTGATACCGTTAGAATTCAAATAATCAAACAATCAAATATTAAGGTTTAGATTTAGGAGGGATAACAGAGAAAAAAGAGAGGGAGATTGAGGAAAATGATGTGTGTGAGCCAATGTTGCTCTACACTTATTTATATCAAACGAGTAAATTACAATATTACCTAACATGACTAACAATACCTGAGAAGACCTCTAACAAAACAAAGATGGAAATAAAAGAATTTGATGCATAGTAACTCAAAGTTACCGAAGAATGCGTAGAATGATAGCCCAATGAACAATGGTAGGTGAGACAAGAAACTGACTCACGATATGAACACCAAAAGAAATATTTGGGCGGATAGGGGCGGAGTTAGGATTTTACCTTAGTGGGGCAATCTAAATTTTTAAATTTCAAAGTATAATTGTAACTTTAAAATTTAAGAATTTAGGTTATCGTATTGAAAGTTAAAAACTTTGTAACCTTTTTTTTTCTTTTTTTTTTTAGATAAAACAAAAGTATAATTGTAACATTGTTTTCATCAAAATATATATTCTTGATCAATTGTTTATAAGCATAATTACGTTAAAAGAATGTCAGTTAGATGGGCAACTTATATATATGAGTGATGTACGAAAAAGACAACAAAAAAGTTTCACATCAAAAATATTTTTTAGTGTTCAAGATCCTATACAAAAAAAGCTTCCAACTCTCGAACATTTAATAATGGATTACACATAATCAAAATATAATCCATAAATCTAAAATATAATCCAAACTAGAATTTCAAGAAATCAATTAAAGCAATTTAATCATAGGAAAGAAAAACAACACTAACCAAAAATCTTAGATAGCCAATCTGAACGGGGTCTTCAACAAAAATCCAAAATAGTTAAGTGCTGACCCAAGACGAAACAAAGAAAACCTACATAAGTTCATAAATAATACACCAAACAACCATCAATTCTACAGGAACTAGACTAATTTTTTAATATAAAAAATTTGATTTTAAATTAGTGCTAATATTTCTATCAAAAAATTTGGTTAATGAATTACCTCTCTCCTTGGCTTCAACATAATCTTCTAGGGTTTGTTCAAATTTAATTTGGACAACGATTGAATTCACTAAAAGAACAAACAAAGAAAATGGGCTGATTTGTTGGCTAATTTACCTCTCCTTGTCTAATTAGTTGACGAATACACCAAAGAAAGTAACAAAGAAACTTAGATAAAAGAAAGAAGATAGTTGGATTGGAAGTTGGACCGACTACGAAAATGACGAAAATGATTTAAAGGGTAAAAAAAAAAACACAAGCGATGAAAAATGAGCAGGAGTTGCAGCTGCCAAAATTGAATTTTAAGGATTTAAAAATTATATTAATATACCCTATATTTTAACAAAGTTTTAGTGGGGGCAAGTTTAAAAAATTCTTAAAATTTTTAAAATTATACCTAGGTCCCAAATTTTTTTAAAATTTCAGTGGGGGCAACTGCCCTCATACTAAATCCAACCCTATGGGCGAATAGCGGTAAGAAATATCAGACTCGCAATAATAGTACGATATAAGATAAGATTAGTTAACCGAGTGTCATTCGCGGAAGAATACCGAACATTGAGCTCTAAAGGTGGCTTAGTTGTTCGATTATCTAATAAACTAGCTTGCTGAATAAACATATGATGCATACTTGGACTATAAGAGCAGATAATCTTTGGGAGAAGAAACAACCTCAATCCCCAAGAATTACCGAAGCTGACCCAAATCTTTCATCTCAAAATGAACCTACAACTGATTTTTCAATAGTTGTATGCCAGTAATGTCATCACCAGTAATAATCATATCATCAACGAGAACAATGGAACCTGATGAAGTGCACCACAAAAAAGGGCAAAATCATGATCCCTGACATGAAAACTCAAGTCACGGATGATTGAAAAAAACTTGGCAAACTATTCTCTGAGAGCATGTTTAAGACCATATAATGCCTCATGTAGTTTGTATACTTGACCCGGACTATGAGTTAATCCAGGAGGAAGACCAATAAAGACTTCTTCAATCAAATCTCCATTGAGCAAGGCATTTTCATATCCATCGGAAAAAGACTCCATTGATGAATAACAACCACTACAATCAAAGTGCAAACAGTGATCATCTTAGCAACAGTAGTAAATGTCTCTTCATAATCTATGTCATACTCTTGAGCAAACCCCTTGACTACTAATCAAGCCTTGTATCATTCTATAGAACCATCAAATTTGGTCTTAATTTTATATACTCACTTAAAACCGACCGTGTGTTTGCCAGATAATAATTACACCAACTCCCATGTACTAGTCTTATATAAAGTTGAAAGTTTCTCATCCATATCCTGTTAAAAAGGGAGATGATGAGCATAGAATATTCCACATCATGTATCTTTTTGCACTCATTTATACTTGCTTTTGTGGAGAAAATGGTAAAAATTGCATTTAATCTAACAATTAATGGAGTTTTGTGTGATAAGAGGTAAAGAGTAGGAAAAGACATATTTTAAGTCTCCCATCGAGTGCTTAAAGGCAATGAAGAATAAGGGAAGATTAATGGATGGCTCAGGATTTCAAGAAATCAAGAAAAAGTCAAAACAGGTGAAAACCTACCGATAGATGTTCATCAAAACCTACTGGTAGGTTTAATGCACTAGATTCCTTTTATTGCTGCCCCTGCCAAAACCTACCGGTAGGTTTTGCCTACCAGAAAAAACCTATCGGTAAGTTTTATGACATTCTACTAGTAAGTTTTGTCCATAAACGCCAGAAACCTGCAATCTCAACTCCAACTACTTTGTGGGCCCACCTCTGCTTCTCCCACACATACCTTGACACATTTTACATACAATGAGAGGCTCCCTTACACCAAAAGCTTGACTTTGGAAGAAAAAACATGGAAGAAGAAGAGAGAGGAGAGTGGTCGGGGGAAACATGGAAGAGACAATGTGGGGCCTGTGGTTGCTTGTAGCAGTACTCATAACCCTTCCAATCATATCAATTCAGGTCTCACACTCTTGGAGAGGGATATGAACGAATTTTGATTGTCACCTTCAAGAGAATTCAGCTACACACATAATTTTAGAGAGAGAATCTCAAGGAAGAAGATGAATACTCAATTCCAAGTAAAACACAACATTACAAGTCTCTCTTAGCTTAGAGAGTACTTTTGCACACACGTTTTTGTTCATCCACGCATGATTTTTTCCATTTCTAGCATTGAACCCGAGAAAGAGTGACACTCACCTATTCGTATAAGCCATATACACACAACTGGGATCATGATTGGAGATTAGGGTGAATCACAATCAAGTATTTTTGATGTCGTTGCCAGGTAATGTTAAGCGTCAAATTAGAAGGTGATTTCGAACAATGGACGTAAGTTCCGTGATTCTCATCACGGGCCAAGGTACATTGCTCCCTTGTATATATTTGTATATACTTTTCATTTCAATTGTACATTGTCTTTTTGTATGTGGGGACGGGACAACCAAAATAGACTTGTGAGACGTGCCATAGGACCAAACATGAATCTAGACCAAGACCCACCCAAGGATGCCGAAGACAACTTTGGGGACGATGATGCTAGTGTTCCAATGAGCGGGAGAATGTAAAACCCTAGAATGTCAAACCTCCAAATGCAATTCCCCCTCCAAGGAATGAGGGAAACAATATCCTAATCGATCCTCCAACGAGGTCAATGAGGGATTATCTCCAACTAACCTGAAGCACCACCCCCCATTGCATGCTTCTACTGGTCTAAGCCCATGTCTTGTTAAACTGGAATTGTTACAACTATTTCCTTAATTCCATGGAATTGAAAGAGAAAATCCTTATTTGCACACTAAAGAATTTGAGGAAATTGTTGCAACATTTTTCCCAAATCATGCCATGGAAGACATAACTCGCATGAAATTATTTTCTTTCTCCCTTAAAGATAAAGCAAAAACTTGGTTGAACTCATTGAAACCTCGAGCAATAAATTCTTGGGCATAAATGCTTTCTGAATTTTAAACAAATTTTTTCCAGTGCCCGAGATCACTGCACTTAAGAAACAAATTTAAATTTTTTGAAAAAATCCAATGAGCAGTTTTATCAATGTTGGAATAGATACAAGGAGTTGCTACAATCCATTCCACTTCATGGATTCAAACACATGACAATTAGTTAGTTTCTTTTATGAAGGAATTACATCGACTTATCGACAATTCATAGACATGATGTGTAATAGAGAGTTTCTAAACAAAGATCCCGATGAGGCCCTTGAGTACTTCAATACATTGGCACAAAATGCTCAATCATGGGATATCAAAGATCTCAATAATGTGCTAAGGTCCTTCTTGGGGAGTCAACCAAGTGGGGGAGGGATGTATAACTTGTGTGACCAAGAGGACTTGCTTTCAAAAATCACAAAATTGTCCCGTAAGGTGGAGAGTCTAGAGGTGAATAGAAGGCACAAGATTTCTAATGTCACAAAGGTTGAGAAATTTTTATATATTTGTGAGTGTGTTGAGCATTCCATCTTGGAGTGCCTAAACATTTCGGCCCTCAAAGAGGTATACCATGAGCAAGTGAATGCCTTCAATCAAACTACACAATCATTCTCTCCACACTCCAACACATATAATCCGGGTTGGAATAATCACCCGAACTTTAGTTGAAAGAATCATAATCTCATTTCTCATGGGTCTAGCTCATTGTTGCCTCCCATTCCACCCAAGCAAAACCAATCCTACTATGGTCATGGTCCCTTGTCTAGCTCCCAATACCCACGGTCCAATCAGCAAGGTTTTTCCCAAAAACCCATCACCTCAACAAGGGTTTGGCCAATAAGGACCATCCAACTCACTTACCTACCAACCTCCTCACAAAAGGAATTTAGAGGATATCGTGCACCAATTCATTCAAA